GCAGAAGTGTTTCCGAGGTGGTCCAGGTCCCGTCGGTTCCCTTGGTGCTGGCATCCGCTGAGAGTTGAAGGCATAGTACTTGTGAATGCGAATTCAATGCTGCCACAGAGCTTTAACGCAGCGCTTCGCAGTGCCTTGCGGCTTGCTGCGGCAATCCTGCACTGCAGCTGCCAGTCTTTCTTTGGTGCCTGGCGGACTTCTGGACTTCTGGCGGAGCAAGGACGCGCAGGGGGACAAGGGGCAAGGGGCCAGTCCGCAAGGCATCGAGGACGAGTCTCACCAATCAGCCCAAAAGTTGAGAGATATTGCAAGCTGAGGAACCAAGGCAGCGGGCAGCATACAACTTGATTTCACCTTCCCAGAACTGGCTCTTATTCCGCAAAGCCACAGCCATGGCCGCCCTACGCCTTGCCCTTCTGGGTGCTTTGGCCGTCACTGCCAGGGCCCAGCAACTAGGCACGAAGCTAGTGAGCTAGTGAGCTAGTGAGCTAGTGTATGCGCTTCCAACAGCTGCGCTTTCTGAACTACAGGCAGTGCGACTGCAGCCCATGCGAAGACTACCCATTGGACGAGTTCAAAGACCCCTGCTTCGACAAGTGCATTGTGACTGGAGATCCGCATGTGGAGCACAGCTGGCGACCAGGATTCGAGGAGGGTTTTGACTTCCAGCCTCAAGGCATTTGGCGCCTGGCCAAGACAGACACGTGCGGCGGCACGGTGGAGGTTCAGGCTTTCTTCTGCCACTACTTCTTCACCCCCCTGAGTTCAGCCATCGCCTATGCCATCACCATCAACGGCGGCGAGAAGTACATCATCAAGAGAGTTGGGGAGGAGTTCCAGGTGGGCAGCCCCGACGTGCGGAACATGAACTTCACGTTTAATACCGAGCAAGATCCTGTGGCCGGGCGGCTCTTGGTCAGCGATGACAAGTGTGTGCGCATCAAGATGAATACTGTGAACCTCTACGGTGGAACGAGAGTCACAAAGTTTTTGGACAACCCTTATCTCAACAACATCTTCATGAACATTTGGGGATGCGCCACCACGGAGTCGGGTATCTGCGGTGCTCCGAGCCTTGGAAAAACTTGTTGTGTAGCTCTCTTCGGTGAGAACATCCTGTCCTCTTCCGAGCATTCAGACTTGTCTCCCGATCCCTTTGCCTTAAGGAAGTTGTCCAGAGAGTTTATCGACCCCGAGAGCGATGACAACCTGTTCAAGACACCAGAGGAGCCCGAGTTGTGGAAGGACCTCTGCCAGTTCTGCCAGGAGGAAGGCAGCCCGGGCGGCGTGCTGATTCAGAGAGAGAGAGAGAGAGACTGAGAGAGAGAGAGAGAGAGTGTGCCATTTTGGCTCAAGCCACTGCACATCAAGCCCCTTGTGTGTACTTCAGCCCCCTTAGAGTCTCTCTCCTTCCTGACAACACCAAGGGGGCTGTAGAGGAAAACAACTCCTGACCGGTACGCTCCTTTCTTCTTGCAGGGCAGCCATCAAGCACACGGTCAAGATCGAACACTACTTGTCTACCCGCACCTCGCCCTGTCCATCTCTGCCTACAAGAACAAACCACGAGGTGATCAGGTGCTGCACGACCGGCCTATAACCCCGTTGCCCGGACCCTCTACTGCCTCTTCCCCCGCACCGACCACGCTGGGAGAAACAGGGTGACCGCTACCAGAACGTGACTCTGGCAAGGAATCCATCGAGGCAAACTACACCGTACAGAGATCCGAGATGGCAGGCAAAACAGGGCCAGCCAGCGCTCCAAACAGAGCAATCGACGTCGAGGTGGAAAGCCCAGCAAACAAAAGACCGCGCCCTTCGCACCCAGGCAGCGAAGGCACCCCGCTGACACTCGAACTTTTCCAGTCGACCATCCAGCCACTGATAGCCAAGATTGGAAGCATGGACTCCA